CCTGGGTTTAGCAGTACAGAAGTCAACAGAACATTTTTGTTATCTTTCCGTAGAACTGAGCACCACCTAAATAGTAAATGGTTTTGACAAGAACAGTAGGATTTTAGTGAAGGTAGAATGCTCAGTGCAGCTCTGAATCTAAATGGAAGAGATACCTGTCTACATGGAAATGGTGTTGGGAAAATTATGGAACAGAATTTAACATTCTGTCGTACATGAAATCCATTAGGTATGGACTTTGAAATATAGAGCTCACCTCTTACAGGGTAAGTTAATAAACATCTACTTGATTTGATAAAAAAAAGGTAAATATGGTGAATGGAACTATATTGGGTATTGATCACTTAAATCTGTATGTGCTGAATTTCAGATCAGATTTAAATTATGCTTTAAGAAGTGAATTATAACTAAGATTTAGCACATTGAAAACAAATGGATCTATTAGATCCATTATCTATTATGCTACAGAAACATTATAAGTGCAAAATATGGTGGGTGGACCTTTAAATCCCAAACATCTGCATTAGAGTTATGGTTGTTTGATCCTGTCATCTAAATCTCACAGTTACTGCTCTTCCTGAAATTTCCAGGTGACTTTGTCTTTACTTGGAATATGGCCAAATGCTCCCTTGCTCTTAAACCAGGCAATCTCTTGTTTAGATCTTACTTAGAGCTTGAGGACTATTTTATACAAAAGCAGAAAAAATCTCTTCGAGTTCCTCTGTGAAAACACTTTTGCATAATTATAATGTTAAATTCAGAGACCTTGAGAATAATACACAAAATCAAAATATCAGAAAAAGAGAAATATTGGTAAAGCAAGTCAGGAGATCAGCCAAAACAGCACTTGATCATTAACATTATACAAAATGCATACCCGTGCACTTAGCCTTCTAAGCAATCATTTAGCTTCTCCAGTTTAAAGACAGAGGACGAGATGCATCATCCCATCTTTAAAGCAGCTGGAACATACTAATGGAGTCAGATGCACAAGAAAATTCCCTTAGAGCTCCATGGAATGCTGAGCAGGGGAGGTGAAGGTTACAAATAGGCATGATTATGCTGTTCCAGTCTGAAAATTAATCTGGGCAATTACTGCTCTCAGCACTGGTTTCCTTTCACTTCTGAAGTTAGGTAGGACATTTAATCAGATTTGGGAAAATGCAGTATCATTCCTGACGTGATTTGTGCAAGGCAAAGGAATCCACAGAGATACTCATGGAAGTGTTCATCACTTCCGTGCATGGGTATGTGAACTGAAATGTTACCAGTGAAACCTCCCTGTTATGTTAGATGGTGCCCTGCATAGCTAAACTTGCTCAAGTGTTACTCTTACTCAAAAAGAGAACATGAGAAAGAGACCAGTGCAGAAATGTAGGCATTATTTAGGCCTCATTGTAAAGCTCCAGTGAGTACATGCAAACCTTGAGTCTATTTTAAATCTTGTGGGATACATTTATACACAAGCTGTTTGGGGGAATCTCTCCTATTACTTGTGCTAAACAGCCTTGCTTCATAAATGCTTTGTTTTCAAAAATGAGGGGGGAAAAAAGGCACATTAAAGTATTTTTTTTCAATGTAGTGCTACTCTTAAAATCATCTTCCTGTTCGGTGTGGATGAGCCAAGATCTTTTTGACCCTGCCAGGAAAAGAGAAATCATTTTCATGGTATCATCCCTTAGTAATTCCATATTGTTTTGAACCAAAATCTTAGATAAGACCTTCTCTGTCGCTGTCCTGCCCCTAACAGTAATTTATTAAGGTGTTTCAGAGAGATTGCTCCTGAAAACAGCATTAATAGAAAATAAGATGGATTTATTCCTCTTTAGATGGGCTTATGCCTTTTGAAGCCTGAGAGCTGACACTGACTTTATATTTGCTTTGTTCCTATTAGAAAACTTGAAAGCCCAGATGCTTCATGGGGTAACTCAGTGGCACCATAACTCCAAGACTTAATGGCATTTCTTATATTTAGCTGTAGAAAGACTTAGCGACCAAATAAATACGATGATACTTGCACCTTCCATAGTGTTCCTTAGTAGGAGTTTCCATCTCTTTCATCTGTCATAGCCTGTTAATGCAGGCTGTGTCTTTTGACTGTGGAAACTGTTTCAGCTTAGTTCAAGTCAACAGAGCTACGAGACCTGACACCACCATCAAAACTGTTTCTTTATATTTCAGTTTCTAGGAGGATGTATTCTCAATACCAGCACAACTGAATGACTTGTGCTATATCGATGCAAACTGTTTGTTGTAATTTATCATTAATTTGGCTTTTCTTGGTATCTCTTTTAAATCAACTTCAAAAGAGATTCAGTAATCTTCTTCAAAGGGCATAGAATAGTAGATTAATGGATCAAGAGTATAATTCAGTACATTCGTGTTAAGATAAACATTTTGGAATAGAATAGCACTTTACACCACAGCCATGCAAACAGCCGTTAAAAGAAAGCCCATGTTCGGCTGCAGGAGGAAGATGTAAACATGAAGCATAATATAGCTCCATTAAATGTTAGCTGTAATTTAGAGGGTTGGAGTCGTGCTGGGCTAGCAGGGCTTTCTGCCTTCTCTCTGCTGTTGCTCAGCTGATTGGTTTGGATTTTGATCCAATTCCTGTGGATGTGAAAAAAGGCAAGCATTACTGATGTGGAATATCCACATTATTAATGTGGGGCTGCACTCTAGCTAGAGCACTAAAATAATATTGCACTACTTAAAATTTTAACTTGTTTTCATTAAATAGAAAGCTTTAACCCTTGAGAAGATCCTGGAGTGATTTGATTGAAACAGTATGAAATTGCTTTTTTGTCCTTTCATTTGCATTTTTTCCCCTTCTCTGTAGCAAAAAAGTTCTTGATTATGATGATTACACATTGAAATTTATTTTTCTTGAAAAAATCTGTACACATCACTTTGTAGAACAAATGCAAAGAAAACATTTCAAAGCCAGCTGTGGCGTTTAACCACATGAGTCCCATGGGATTTGTGTGCCTAAATGTGCTAGTCAGGCATGTTGGATAGGACGGTATCTTTTAAAAGACCAGCTGGTATACATGGAAAGAGGAGATTAAATGGAAGCCCTTACTCAGGTCTGCCTTTGTGCCTTGAAAAGGTCTCTTTTTTCTTGGCTATCAGTTGGTCTAATAAAAGCAGTTCTCTCTCCCTGATAATTTTGCCCCTTTTCATATCATTATGGTGGGGGCACCTCAACTACAGAAATCGTGTTGATAACCATGGTGCGAATCATGGCATCAGCTCACACTTCAGCCTTCTCATCTTGTTGCCTGTTGAAACAGACAAACCAGCTTCACCTGCATTTGCTTAAACAAGTGCCTAGCAGTTTGCAGCATCACACCTAGTGCAAAACTAGCTTTTGGGGAGCTCAAGGTTTTAATCTAGGGTTAACTTGGGATCGTAACAACTTTGTGTGAGTCGTTCTAGAAAACAGGCTGCCTAGATCCTAACAACTGTGATTTTAGAGGTGCTGTATCAAGAAAAAACTTACGGGTTAAAAGAATCTTGCATAGCTTAGGTGTTTCTTTAATGTTTAAAGTCCTTCAGCAGATTAAGTTATTTCTTTTCTTCTTGTCCTGTAAACCATGGCCCATAATTTCTTGGTCGAGATTCAGGACAGTGAACTGCAACTTCAAATCATCCTTTCTTAGTCTCGTAGAGAATTAATGTCTACCCAAGTAAAAATAACATTTTGGCAGAGATCAGGTATTGGAGGCCAGTTCAAGTCAAGGGACATCTCCCGTTCTGCCCCAGTGGAAGCTCTGTGTTCTCCTCCTTCACCTTTGGGTTTGCTGGTGGGAGGGGTTTTGTTCTAGAGATGTACAAATTTATACTAAATTGTTATTTTTAATGGAGTTTTTTAAAAACCTCTGATAAATGCTAAATTAAGACAGATACAAAGTAATGTTTTACATTTATCTTTGAGATCAACTGTTCAGTTACTTGTTTGGTACATCAGTAAGTCTACTTGATGGAGGGGAGGAATATCACTGCTGACTATCTACCACTGGGACCTCAGAGGAGGTTGCAATATTGAAAACTGCTAGAACCAGAAGTACGTAACACTTCTGTTTTGTGCTTTTTGTTTTTAATTCTTCTGTTAGGTGCAAACCACAGAAAGAAAAAAGATTCACAAGGGACTTCAGGAAACTCTTGTGAGCAGACATCTCACAAAGCAAAGACCAGCAGAAGCTTTAGTCCTCCTGCTGCAAGAGACAAACCTGGAGCGGAGCTCCCTGTGAACAGGATAATTGATGTGGATGGAGTCAAACTGGAAGACACTGGCAAACGCTCCTGTGACGATTCTGAAGGGAACCTCAGCTTTGAAGGTTACATCTCTGAACTGAGATCTTGCCAAGGGAGGATGAGGACTGGAGTTTATAGGACCTCAGACCTTCCCTCTCTGATTACTGTCAAGAGTGAAAAGAATAAGGGCACTGAGAATCAGTATAAAGCTACTTTTGTTTAAATCTCTGGTTTTAATTAAGGGTTCTGGTATTTTCCTTGGCATCAGCAGCAATGGAGATATGCCTTACAGACATGTTTCTGCAAGTTATAAGTTGTTTTCAATACCCAGTTGCCTTCAATGAGCCTGCCAGACCGTCTCTACTGATGAGAGTCAGAACCCATAGAATGAACAAATAGTATTTCAAGGAAAGCGTTGAGTTGCTTGGTTTTGTTCTCTTACGAGTTCTATATGATTTTCCTGGGGATGATTCCATTGCACAATGCAATTAAAATTATGATTTCCACGCCTACCCTTTTTGCCTTTAATAAAGACAAACTCACTTTAAATTCCCCTATCCAAAGTGCTTATTTAAGGATAATTTCACTTTAACCTTCTAATGCTTTTTTTCCTGGTCTGCAGGATTCTCTGTGTGTTGGTAGACTTTCAAAGTGAAAGTAAAATCTGTTACTTGGCTAAAAAGATTAGGATTACTTTCTTAATATCTTCCTATCTGTTTCATCACGTTTGGGAAGAGGTCCAGGTGGAATTCAGTCTTGTCTCATGCATTGCCTGGATGGATATATGCAATATGAACATTGTTATACAAGCAGTAAGAAGCAAAAAACCCCCTGTGAATTTCCTGTGCTGGAAATAATAGCTGCATTTGTAGCCAACACTGGTGACGTTCCCATACTAGAAATGTATATACTAATTACACAGTGGTGGGAGGGTCGCCCAGGTCCCATCTCATCACTGCTTTGGGTGTCTTCGAGCTCTGGGGGAAGGTGGCTTTTGATACTGCTCTTTTGAGAAGTGGTTAAGCACCCCTCATTATTCTTGTTGTCAATTCCAGTTTCAGTTAATCTTCTAGCCTTGGGGAGAGTTTTGAGAAAGAAAAGACTCTTAAGACTATTGAACATGTTGCTTTTGCCACCTGCTCTTTTCGTCCTTTTCAATTTCTTCAGAGGAGGTTATGGGTCTGAACATGCAAAAGCAGACGTGAAGGAATGAGAGCGTTGGACCTCTGCGCATCAATGTGAAACGATACTGAGTGTACAGATTGAGACCTTCTGGTGGTTCACTGCTTTGAAATTATTAAAGCATCCTAGATCCTAGACTGCAGATCCACACAGGCAGTAAGTTTAAGGTGTCACAGTAATTATTTATTAACTTCTCTTTTTTGCTGCTCAAACATACCAAGAATCATGAGTTTCCTGAATCACGGAAGATGCTGGAGGTGGTCACTAGTTTCTTAAACTCAAATCTATAAGATGAGAGAAAGGTACACGAAAGTTACACGATTTTGTAACTCTAAAGTATGATTCCTAAAGCTTAAGTGTTATACATCAAATACTCCAGTGATATAAATGGACCCAACACCTATTAGATTTAATACTTTAATTCTTTCCTACAGGTATGTGATTTTGCTCATAATATTAAGGAAAATCCTTGTTAACTTTAGGCTCAACTCAGTGTGTGACTGAATGAGGATGTGTGCTGTGAAAATAGCTGTTCTTTTTTATACTTGCAAGATTAAAACTGATTTGAGAGTTGTGCTAGAATTAAGTGGCATAATGATACTAGAGATTGAGGGAAACACAGCAGGCAGAACTAGGAGTGAGTAAACGGGCTTGGAGACCAATGTAGCTGCGTACCATGCTATAAGGGACTGTGCTGTTAAAATACAACCCTAGTATACCCCTGCACTCTGGCTTTGCCTGTGCTGAGGGTAAAGGGGGAAAGCTTCTATACTGATCCATAGAATGTGTTGTTTTGTATTGTCCTATACATCATCTGTGTGGGGCACAATGTAACAAAACAGTCATAGTGCAATGATGTGAAAATATTTAAATATCTATGTATTTTTAAAATGTTTTTCCCAATTTTTAAATTTTTTTGTGTAGTATTTTGCTGATAATTGCCCATAAAAGGGTATTTCTTTGCACAGATAAATGGCCACAATCTTTTCCTGTCTTCTGCAAAATTAATAGCTTTGTCCTAATCAAGACCAACATTACACCAGTCAAACTCAAAAGTGGCTTTTGGACCTATGATAGAAAATAAAATCCTGACATCATACAGTAAAAGCTTGAAATTTAAATACAATCATTACAGTCTTTATTGATCTCTGACCAGTCTTTGAGATGAAATGAGCTTGCTTGTCTTACATTGTGCAAGTGTGCTTACAAGTCTTTTAGTGAGCAATAGAGAGCTCTTCAGCTGGAAAAAGAGACAGCTGAGAGGAGATAAAATACAGGCTGGACAACATTGAGTGCCATGGAGAAGGTGGATTGGGACTGACTGTTACACCCTTTTCTAATACAAGAACTACGGCCATCAGGTGAAGCTGGTAAAAGTCAGGTTCAAATCGAAGAGCTGGATCTTCACCTTCTGTTTTCTTTCCACAAGCTGTGGTGCTCAGGAAAAAGGAAGCATGCAAAAATGCTGGTTTTAAATTCTGAGTGCAGCAAACTGGATTTGACTGTTTCAGGATTCAAAGGGAATTTGACAGCATGGGAGAGTCAAGGAAAATGAAGGATGTGAAAGAATGGAGTTTTCTTTAACATGGGGAAAAATCTTGGCACAGTGCCTGGAAATCCTGTAAATAAAGGGACATGGGAAAACCCTTCCCCTCGCCACTGCACTGCCATGGCAGTTATTGGAATATTGTTTAAAAGAATGACTTCTTGGCTAGGACTTACAGAGATTAATTTCCTAGACTTAGAAATAATTAATCATATTAGCTCTCCTATTCAATATCTGGCAGAATATAATATCTAAACCTGCTGGAATCAGTTGCCACTGATCATGGAGCTAATAAAGATGAATGTGGACAGCCTGGTTCTGGCTGATGTTTTCCAAGATTTTCCTAAGGATGTTGTCCAGTTTTAATTACTGTGTGACTTCAACATTATAATATGATTTTAAGTGGCCTCATTATACCGTGATTTCCACTACTAATGAAATCTACTTGCAATTAAAAAAGCAGCCCAACTGAAGTGATACTTGATAGCTTAATCCTTTATCTTGCCAGCTAGTTCCTAAATATAACCAGATTTTATGTGACTTTATTTCTCTCTTACTTTTCCAAGTTTTCCCCTGTTGAAGCTCTGTACAGAGAATTACTCTTATGTGTCCTTAATCCTACAATGATAAATAGAAGTAGAATTCAGTCTCCTTATCCTCTTATGTGGAAGAGGAAGATTCACTGACCTATATCAGTACTCAAACCTGAAACTGTAACAACCAGTGGTATAAAAAACCCAATCCCAACACTTAGACAAACCTTCAGCATTCTAAATCTTATTTAATGTACCGGTCGTCTTATCTTTCACTTGTTGTCATGATATCTGATTTTCACATGGTAGGGGTTTCAGCCTCATGGGCTACATAACATAAGTTGCAGTTTTGTTGTTGTTTTTGTTTTAAAGACTCTGTGAAGAATAGAAAATATGCATATAGGCCAACTTGGAATGTGGCTTCCCCCTTAGTGTTGCGCTAGCAGTGTGTCTTGTCAACAAATCTGTGATATTACACACATGCAAAATAAATCCCTGTGCAATTTAGCTCTAGGGGACTGCATGACAAATAACCAATGTTTTTTGAAGGCACATAAACAAGCTTTGCAGAGAGACTTTGCAAGGGATTTACTGCTCTGTGGGAAACAGCCAATACCTGGCTGTACCATGTCCTTTCTCATGCTCCTGAAGTCTTCTGGGGGATATTTGTGTCATTCAAGGATGCTGGGTCCTTCGTGCACTACTTCTCCGCCTGAAAGTTTTGGCCTCTTTTCTTGCCTTTGCTGTAGTGTGCGTTGCTGTATTCCTCCTTCTCCTCTGATGCTGGAATGTGCTGTTCCTCACATAAAACTGGTAAAAGATGTGGCTCAGCCACTAGTCTTGTTCATTGCGGCAGAGATAATCAGGACTTATTATTTTTGATTTTCACCAGAAAACTGAAATCCTTGCCAGTAGCTGTTTCTCAGCAGTGGTGCTACTGCTCATCCCAGACCTGTCCAACACAGTATCAATAATGAATGCTGTCATTTAAAATGATCTCTCCTGAGATACTCAGGAGGGCGGCCGGGCGATGTGCGATAACGTGCTGTAGCGTCTATGATGCAAACACCCAGAGGCATCTTTGCACAGTTTCTCAAAGGTTTTGAAAAGATTCCAAGGGCTTAGTTAGACAAAGGCCATGGCCCAATGGCAGGTCCTTATCAAGTGGTGTGAGAAGCCAAAACTGTTGCAGGTCCAAGGCACTCCTCCTGACTCCCAACCGCAGCTCATTGTTTTTGGTTTAGAAACGACTGTATGTTCTGCATCAACAGGCAGATTTCCAAGCTCTGTGGGACTGTAGCAAGCCCGTGTGACAACGGTGTTGCTCTGTGGATATAATGTGGGTGTTTACCCTGCAGCAAAAACAAGTGGCACATTCAACTTCTCTCTGCCTGTGCTCTTGGAACGGCATCCCAGCTCAGCATCGTAGGGTACTGAACAACCGGGAGATTTGTGAACCCTAATCCAATGCCAATTAAAACACAGGAAAAGCTTTCATTGATCTTGCTGAAATATTTCCTTGCTGTAGACCAACTGTCACTTTTAACCAGGTTACTCTTGGTTTTTTTCAGAAGATCTTTACCTTCTGAGAAGTGCTGCATGATCAGGTGTCTACAAATTTTGCCTGCATTACTCAAAATGTTAGCAAACCCAATCTGTTACACATGACCCAATATGTTTTCTGAATTGTTTGTGTGGAAGATAAGGAAAGAAAATAGTTTATATTTTTTCATCTCAAGTGATCATTCTGTTGTACCATTTAAAATGTTCTTGTACAGAATTGTATTTGTATTCTTGTTTTATTTGTGGTTTTGTCTTTAAATGTCTATGTAATGACTTTCTAATACGAAAATGCACATTGGATTTATTTCTTGTGCCTTGTCTTGATTGAGAAATGCTGTACTGCACAATAATGTTTATAGAATCTTAAGTGTGTTAAACTCATTTAAAATGTTAATTGTG